TTTCATGAGATTCTCTCCTGCCCTACCTTTTACTTTTTCCTCTCTAATTTCTACATATGAAAGAAAAACATATGACCCTTGAGCTTCCGACTTTGGCTTATTTCATTTGATGTGATATTCTCAAATTCTATGCAGTGTMTTGCAGATGACATGATTTCATTCTCCTTTCTGACTAAATAAACCTAYATTGTGTATATATACCACATGTTTTAATCCATTTATCCATTGGTGCATCCTATGCTGGTTCCATAATTTGGCTATTAYGAATTGTGAACATGCATGGGTATGCATGTATCACGATAGCATGATGGCTTTAATTCTTTAGGATAAATACCAGGTCATATGTGGTTTCATTTCTAATCTTTTGAGGAAATTCTTACTGATTTTCATAGTGGTTGTAATAATTTACAAACCCACTAGGTGTTTGTTTGTTTTTTTCTCCACATCCTTTCCAGCATTGATTATTGTTTGTATTCTTGATGACTGCCATTCTGACTGGAGTGAGATGAAATCTCAATGTAGTTTTGATTTTCATTTCCCTAAATGCTAACGATATTGAACATTTTTTTGTATATTGGTTGTCCATTTGTGTTTCTTTTGAGAAATGTCAGTTTAATTTCTTTGCCCCTTTATTAATTGGGTTATTTGATTTTTAGGTATTAAGTTTATTGAATTCTTTATATATTCTGGATATTAATTTTCTGTTGAAAGAGTAGCTGGCAAAGATATTCTCCCATTCTATGGGTTTTCTCTTTACATATCTAATTGTTTCTTTTGCTGTGTAGAGGCTTTTTAATTTTGATGCCATCCCATTTAATAACTCTTGTATTCTGYCTCAATATTTACTAACTATACTTCCCATACTAGTAAATATTTTTATAGAAATATGAGTTTTGAGATAATTTAATATTATGTCATATAAACACACTTGTAATTTAACAAACATTTTTCCTTTGTTTTATTTTTATTTATTTTTTTTTAGAGAGAGAGAGAGAGAGAGAGAGAATTTATTTATTTATTTGCTTAGTTTTTGGCGGACACAACATCTTTGTTTGTATGAGGTGCTGAGGATCGAACCCGGGCCACACGCATGCCAGGCGAGCGCGCTACCGCTTGAGCCACATCCCCAGCCCTTTTCCTTGGTTTTATAATTTAGGTTGTTTTCTTTCCTGTTCTTTCATAAATAATACTCCGATGAACTCATATCTTTGTCTGTATCTGTTTCATAAGTACAAAGGAATCTTATGTAAGTGAAATAATTAGATCAGATGAAAGGAATATTTATGTTTTTATATATAGACACAGTATCCTGCAGAAATACCTATTGGTTGGTCCTTTCTCTGGTGATGTGTAAGATCTTTCTTATTAGTCTTCAGTCTGAGTGAGCAAGGAAGGTTTTTAGTCTGGATAATTTGACAGTCACAAATAGTCTTCTTGTTTTAGTTTGAATGCTTTTAGGTGGTTTGTTAATCATATGATTTCTTGGGAGATATATTCATATCCTGTGTGTATCTTTATTGGAGTTGCCATGTTTTCTTATAAGCACTTTAGTGAAATTTGGGTTAAGTTTTTACTACTAATTTTAGTATTTGTAAGTAAATACTTGTATTTGTAAGGGAAAGACCCTGTATTTGTAAGGAAAAAACACATGAGTTTATGTACACAGAAAAATTGGAATGTATGTTAGAAAAATGCTAATAAATTTTTAAGTGGTAGAATTTTGGATGCTTTATCTTTGTATTTAGCTTTTTTTTTTTTTAATTTTTCCTTTCCCTTTCTTTCTCTTCTCTTTTCTCCTCCTCCTCCCCCTCCCCTCTTCTCCTCTCTTTTCTCTTCAAGACAGTCTGACTGTGTTGCCCAGGTGGGCCTCAAACTCCTGGACTCAAAGTGATCTTCTTGCCTCCGCCTTGCAGGGAGCTTGAGACCACAGGTGCATGTCACAGAGTCCCACGTTTCCTTTTTTCTGTTTATTCTATAATAAATTTTTTAATTATTTATTTTATTTTATTTTATTTTATTTTTGGTACTGGAGATTGAACTCAGAGGCAGTTGACCACGGAGCCACATCCCCAGCCCTATTTTGTATTTTATTTAGAGACAGGGTCTCACTGAGTTGCTTAGTGCCTCGCCATTGCTGAGGCTGGCTTTGAACTCACTGTCCTCCTGTCTCAGCCTTCAGAGCTGCTGGGATTACAAGTGTGTGCCAATCATTTTCTTGTGATTTATGATTAAAGCACTGGTCTTTCTATCCTGAGTCCTTGTTAACTGCTTCAGGCCTTTTGCGTAAAGGTGAAATTAATTCCTCCCAGCTGCACTTGACTCTAATACAACTCCTGATGCCTGTTCCCGCATACCAGCTCTGTGACCTGTGTTTGTCCAGCCATGTAGAAAGGATGTGGGGTGGCAAGAAACTTGTCCTAAYGTTTTTATTTTCCACTGTCATGGCTAGCCTGCTATGGGATGGATGAAGAGGAGAACCACTATGTCTCACAGCTCAGGGAAGTCTACAACAGCTGTGACACTACTGGGACAGGATTTCTGGACCGAGACGAGTTGACCCAACTGTGCTATAAGCTTCACCTGGAAAAGCAGCTGCCTATACTCCTGCAGACTCTTCTTGGAAGCAACCACTTTGCCAGGGTGGGTATTAGATTCCATTTTCATGAAGAAGAGCACAGAGTTGTGTAGTTGGCTATTATAGGTATTAGGTAAATATCAGTTGAGGAAAGATACTTGTCAAAGGAAAGTTATTAGCAAATGGAATGATGTTTTCCTTCTTTGCCAATCCTACAATTTAGGAAATTCTTTAGGATTACTTTTTTTTTTTTTTTTTTTTTTTTTTACTACGAGAGTAACTTTCAGAGGTTTTTCTTGGGAATAGAATGGAGAAAAGTTTGGGTAAGGGGTTACCAAACTTGAATCTAGTAGCAACTCAGCGGGTAAATCATTCAGATATAATTTCAGACTACCTTAGGGCAGATTGTCTTAGAAAATTAACCAACTTGAAATTTATTGAACTTAAATGATACCCATCTTCAAGGTGCCTGTAATTTCATCTAGGCCAGATAGAAAATGGAAACACTAGGAAATTCAAGGTCACCTAGAGTGGTGACCTACATTCTAGACCACAACCTGCTCTCAGTATCAGAAACACTAAAAGGCACCCTGGACCTCCCTTTCTACTTCTTAGAAGTCTTAATGATTAAAAAAAAAACAAAAACAAAAAAACCCAGTACCAATTATCACACTGGTCATTTTTGATGAAAGAACATTTTCCCCATAGAATTCAATAAAACTACTTTCATTTTAAATGGAAAAAACTCCACTCTGTAAATTTAGTCATTAATACATAACTCTAATTTTAAAAATAAATATTGTAATATTTGAATTAGCAAGGTTGTTTTTGAACCTTGCTAATGTTTATTTTAAAATCCTAGATCTTGCTATTATTAAGCCAGAAAGGAAATATGCCTAAACTTCTTGTGACTACCATGAGGAATTTCCATGCCTGTTTTATATTATATCATTTTGGGGTGTTTTAAAAAAAATACCAGCAGGGATGCTGGGGTTGTGGCTCAGCAGTGGAGCACTTGCCTAGCACGTGCAAAGCACTGGGTTCGATCCTCAGCACCACATAAAAATAAATAAATAAAGGTATTATGTCCAACTACAACTAAAAATATATATATTTAAAAAGGGAGGGGCTGGGGCTGGGTCTCAGTGGTAGAGTGCTTGCCTAGCACGTGCAAGGCCCTAGGGTTTATCCTCAGCACCACATATAAATAAAGGTATTGTGTACAACTACAACTAAAATAATAATAATAATAATAATAATAATAATAATAATAATAATAATATTTTTTTAAATGACCAGTGGGGAGGATCTTAACCTTGAATATTTTAAATTTGGGCAGAGAGACTTCTTCTTAAAAAAAAAATGATTCTTAACATTGTGACACTGGGCGTAATTTTAAAGTCAAACATGACTCTAGAGCACAGATGCAGCCCTTTCATTTCAATGAATGAGTCGGAGATCATATGGAGATGGGTGGGTTGTCTTGTTAGGGCAAACATCTGAATGCCAATGGGGTTCTTTCTGTTTTGAGAGTTGTGAAAGTGAAGGGCACGAGGAAACATACAAGTCCAAATGGTGTATATATATATTGTATGTTAATGGTATATGTAAATTATATTATAACCAGTCTAAAATGGCAGCAAACTGGTCCATCATATCCTTCTACTGCCTGATGGAAGATAGTCAGCTGATAATCATTTTATCAAAGATGCAAAGGAAACCTGATTAGATTAAGCAAAACTTGCCATTTTATTATCCATCAAACATTTTTGAAGCACCTCATAATGTGTTAATCAATACCAGCTGTTAGGAATGCAGAGCTGAGAGAAATACRATTTCTATCTTAATGGGAAATGTATATAGGCAAGGTTATTCAAGATTAGAACTTGTCTTTTCATTTTGGGATTGATTAMATAAATTCTAGTAGGTCCATATGATGAAATTTTRTGCAGCCCTAAAAAGAAATGAGACTTCAGCTATTTCAGTGGTGGCAAGTTAGCAAACTCTGGCCAACCTTCCTCATAGAGCAAGTAAACCAAAAATCTCAAAGACAGTAAAGAGCAAAACAGACTTAGGAAGAAATTACGAGTCCAAAAATCCGTGCTAAACCAAGTACCTAGAGAGGTGACCTCAACACCCAAAATCCCATTTGCCCTCAGAATATTTTCTGATCATAAGTAAGCAACTGTAAAATTGATCTCTGGGGACTCAAAAGGTAAATATGTCAAAACCAGGTTTGCCCAATGTTAGAATGTGGGAAACCAGCCCCAAATTTAAGGGAGAATCCTAATGGGTAATACCTGTTGGACAAAGATGACTTTCATGTCAGTCARCTTTTGTGCTTCTTTGTAGTTTGGTCTTGTGTCCCCCTCAGAGTCTACATATCCTCAAGCCTTTCATTAAAGCATTGGTATTGCTGTGACATCTGGCAAAGGCAGACAAATGCTTACTCTTAAGCTCTGAAATTAGTCCTAAGTAATAGCTAAATGCAATGACCAGCATACAATTGGGTTAGCAGGCACAMAACAAACAAATCAGATTGAGTAAGAATCAACAAAAACAAGCAACAATGGAAGCAGACCCACAAAATCTAAAACAATTATTGTTACCATATTAGGAGACTTTTAAAAAATGAATTTGAAAAGATCCATAGGACTTCTTAGAGGGATGGCTAAGAAATKATATAACAAATCTAAACATGGAAACAAATTAGACTGAAAAGTCTAATCCTCCAGAATGTAGCATGAAGATAGATTAAAAACAAAAAGATGGTAAAGGGGTAGAGTGATAAGTTTCAGGATTCTTTGAATTGGAGACCCAGGAGGAAAGGAGAGAAGCATTATATGAAGAGATACTAGGAGATAATGTTCAGAACAGATGAAGCATACCGCTTGGGATTCCAAAAGCCCATGGTATTCCAAAGAGTATAAATAAAAAGAAATCCTCACCTGACTATATTGTTGTGGTACTGAAGGAAAACAAAGACAGACATGTTAAAAGTGGTCACAGGTGGGTACACAGGATCTCTTTATTTTTCTTATAACTGCATCTGAATCTATAACTATCTCAAAATGAAAAGTTTAACAATTTTTTTTAAAAAAATTAGCCAGAGAAAATGCATATCCTAAAAATGAACCATAGTTAGATCGATAGCTGCCTTCTCCACTGCAATAGAGGGAAGAATACAGTGGTCAGTACCTCCAATGTGCTGAAAGAAAGTAACTGCTGACCTAAGGTTCATTCCTGGCAAAAGTGTCTTCTGAGAATAAAGGTGAAAAAAAAAAATCCCTCTAGATGTGAGAAACAGAATTCTGCTTAGCAGTGAAAGAACATAGAGGCAAACACATAGGATTTGTTGAGCACCTACAGCAGTCAGCTCATAATCCAGAAAAATAATTGYATACACAGGGAAAGTAGCAGCTTGCCATCATGGTGTTACCACTGAAGTATAACACCCAGGCAAGTGTAGAGTGGAAAGTGGAAGGTTTTATTAAAGGACAGCAGACAAGWCTKCTCCCCCGGAGGAAGAAGGGGACCTGAAAGGCGGAATCCTTGGAAGGAGGAGRTCTTYCCTTTTTTATATCTAAGGTCTTCTTTTAGTCCTCCCACATTCCTGTCCTTTATTTCCCTCTATCCTGCAGTGATASAATGCAGGTGGGAAGGCCCAAAGGTGGGAGATAGGTGGACTGGAGGAGTAATCTGGGCAGAAAGGGCCTGGGGACATTAATTAATTAATTAATTAATTTCCCTAACTGCTGTTCTGGTTTCCTGGACTCCATTCGATAATGGTCTCCATTTTCTTTATCTTACTCAATATTAGACCCGATTTACCTAATTACACTAACTACCTATTTTTATGCTCGAATTCAGGACCCCCAAAAGACCACCAGAGACCAAGATCGATGTAAGCAGCAAAGAGGTGTTTATTGCGAGCTAGCTCGGTCCTCCGCAAGCACACAGCAACTGGTGACGCTGAGAGGCCCCCAGCCCAGGGTTTGCAGCAGTTTTATACACTCTTTGGAGAAGGCAGGGACCCCCACATACATCATAGCATCTCTTAGCAAATCATCACACACCGCGGGAAAATCAAATAACAACTCTAAAACATGATTAGCACTTTCACTGGCAGGAACAAGTTGGGTAGGGGTGATTGGTTACTATGAGAGGGGGATTCATTTGAACTGATTGATTTAAGCCAAGAGGGGTGTTCGTGCTAAACTACATGGTTTCCCAACACCATAAACTACTGGGAGGGTCATCTGGCATCCCAGATATTTCCTTGTCTCATGCTGATTGGTGGCTGCTAGGGGGTTGCTATGGGTCCCCACCTAGCCTGACTGAGTCAGGGACACCTGGCACAGCAGATCTCTCCTGTTATTTGTAGATAAACAACTTAGCAGGGTGGGAATGTGCCTAGGAGTGCTCTGTGGGTCTTTCCAAGGACAAAGGTGATGTCCCTTCCTTGGACAGGCTTTGCTCTGAGGTAGAGGCTGGTTTTTCACTATCTTTAAATCTGACTTCAGTGGGAGCAACAGAGATATGCTCATTCAAGTTCTGCTCCTGCAGCTCTAACATCTGTGGTGCTGATACTGCCAGTTACTGAAGAGTAACTGATGAGTTCTGCTCCCTCACACGTTGAAGTATAACACTAGAGAAGTACGCTGAGGCAAGCATATAAAGCAGGGTTTATTTTAAAAGGGTTTCCTGGTATCCCAAGAAGTGAGAGGTTTTTGCCTTTTTTAAAATTAATTAATTAATGAATTAATTAAGTAGTTGCAGTTGGACAGAATGCCTTTATTTTATTTGTTTATTTTTATGTTGGTGCTGAGGATCAAACCCAGTGCCTCATGCATGCAAGGCAAGCACTCTGGCACTGAGCCATAGCCTCAGCCCTGGTTTTGCCCTTTTTTATATGTCCTAGGCTTCCTTTGTTCTTCCCCTTCTCTTTCTCCTTCCTGCAAATGTGACTAGGTTCAGGAAATACTCTGTGGGATGGCCCAAAGTGGGAAACAGGTGAGCTGAAGAGGCCTGAGAGGAGTGATCTGGGCAGGAAGGGGGAGTAATTAACAATTCCCTGTAGGGGATGAGAATCCCTGGGACAACAGGTTGGAGCAGGGTCAGGTTCTTGATAAGAGTGGAGGAAGGGCTCTGAAGGAACTAACATTTCAATCCCTCCAGTCTCTGGATCTGACCCTTGCCTGTCTGCCTAACTCTGACTTCAGAGCTATTTTGACCTAATAGCTCTTCTGTTGATTTATTTCTGCCTGGGTTTCATTGAAGCATAGAGAAAAGAGCACATAGCAAAATGTTCAGCACAAGGAATATTCCAAACTGAGCACACCTGTGTGACCTGAACCTTTGCTAATCTCTTTACTTCAGTAACACTTTTTACCTAAAAATCCATTTTCTTTTATATCAAAAAGATATAAAAGCCCCTGAATGCCTGCTCATGTGCCTTTTGGTCCCTCTGTCACCAGAGGTTAGCCACTGTCCTGGCACTAATGTCACAGGTTTGTTTTGCTTATTTCTGAACTTTACATAAATGAAAATATACTCTACATACTCAATACATACTCTTTGTCTCCTTTTATTCAATATTTTGTCGCTGAGATAATTTCACAATGTTATGTCTATCAGTGGCTTGGTTTTTTTTCCCCCCAAGGTCATATATTTTGTTGTATGATACTATTATGGTTTATTGGTCCTTTCTGTTTAAATGGGATCAGAATAATTTCCACTATTCTAGAAGAATAAATTATTATTATATGTTATAAATTGTTATTCTGCTAAGAAAAAAAAAGATAGCATGTGAAATTAAAACATCTCAGACAAACTAAGAGTTTGGCATCAGTATATATAAGAAAAATGAAATTATAAATGTCATTTTTTAAATAGATGGAAAATTATCCCAGATGCAAGGTCAGAAATGCAAGAAAAACAGTGTAATTCTAAATGAACATCCACTAGGTGAAATTAAAATTAACATTTTTGAGGGTTGAAAATATAAAAAACTAAAATTCATGGTAACAAAGGTAACAAAGTCAGGAGCGTAGTAAATGGACTTTTTAAGCATTATACCTGCTTTGMATTATCATAGAACATGGCAAGAGTATTGATTAATAGTCAATTTTGAGAAACAAAGGATACATGTTACAAGTTTCAAGATAATTAGTAAAAGAATGGAAACAGACTATATAACTTCTAAGTTAATAAAGAGAAGATGGAGTCCTAAAATATAACTATTTATATATAAATATAAAAATATAATCAATAATTCAAAGAACAGAATGAAAAGTACAAGCAAGTAGGTCAATTTGAAAGTACAAAATAGTGATTAAAATCCAAATATATCAGTAATTACATTAAGTATACATAGACTAAATATTTCAGTTAAAAGATAGTCTAGAAAAAAAAAGCTTTAATACTGCTCACAAGAGATAATCTGAAACAAGGACATAAATAATTGGAATTAAAAGTTTGATGAAAAGATGGGTCATATAAACAGTAACAAAAGAAAGTTGGGGTAGTGAGAGGAGCTGCTGCCGCCGTCCATTCGCTGCGGAGCCGGAGGAGGAGGGGAGAGGCCTGGAGGACACCAACATGAACAAGTTGAAATCATCGCAGAAGGATAAAGTTTATGATCTTCACACAATCTAATGAAAAAACAGCAGTAAGTTGTCTTTCTCAAAATGACTGGAAGTTAGATGTTGCAACAGATAATTTTTTCCAAAATCCTGAACTTTATATACGAGAGAGTGTAAAAGGATCATTGGACAGGAAGAAGTTAGAACAACTATACAATAGATATAAAGATCCTCAAGATGAAAATAAAATTGGAATAGATGGTATACAGCAGTTCTGTGATGACCTCGCACTTGATCCAGCCAGCCTTAGTGTGTTGATCATTGCATGGAAGTTTAGAGCAGCAACACAGTGCGAGTTCTCCAAACAGGAGTTTATGGATGGCATGACAGAATTAGGATGTGACAGCATAGAAAAACTAAAGGCCCAAATACCCAAGATGGAACAAGAATTGAAAGAACCAGGACGATTTAAGGATTTTTACCAGTTTACTTTTAATTTTGCAAAGAATCCAGGACAAAAAGGATTAGATCTAGAAATGGCCATTGCCTACTGGAACTTAGTGCTTAATGGAAGATTTAAATTCTTAGACTTATGGAATAAATTTTTGTTGGAACATCATAAACGATCAATACCAAAATATACTTGGAATCTTCTTTTAGACTTCAGTACAATGATTGCAGATGACATGACTAATTACGATGAAGAAGGAGCATGGCCTGTTCTCATTGATGACTTTGTGGAATTTGCACGCCCTCAAATTGCTGGGACAAAAAGTACAACAGTGTAGCACTAAAGGAACCTTCTAGAATGTACATAGTCTGTACAATAAATACAATGGAAAATTGCACAGTCAATTTCTGCTGGCTGGACTGAACTGAAGATCAATCCTCACAATTCAAACTGAGGGTTGAGACAAAACTTTAAGGATACATCTTGGACCATATTGTATTTCATTCTTCTAATGGTGGTTTGGGCTTGTCTTCTAGTCTGGGCCGCTCTAAACATTTATAATTCCAACGTTGTGGATTTCATCTTATATCTGTGGACCATCCTAGTTTATTCTCCCATAAGTCTTAGAAGCTTTATGGTGATTATTTTGAGGTTTCCATTCTCGCATAAAGCACAATGCTGTCTTCATCAGAAAACAGTTTGGCATAAGAATTAAACATAATGAACATCAAAAAAAAGTTGGGGTAATTTTTTTATATAAAAGAAAATGGATTTTTAGGTAAAAAGTGTTACTGAAAAAGATTAGCAAAGGTTCATTTCACCAAAGGGATATATAAATATATATTCTGTGACCCAGGATTCTTGTTCTTAGGTATGTACCATGGAGAAATCTCAAAGGTCATGTGCAACATTGTTTAAATTGGTTTTGTTCTTAATAATTAAACACTGGGAACAGTGGAAAAGTTTGTCAGTAGAACAATGGATTGATGTTAGCATGGTTACATAGGAGAATACTATGCAGCAGAGAAAATGAATGAAGTATACCTATACATAGCAACTTAAATGAATATTGTAGAAGTAATGTTGAACCATAAAAGCAAGATAAAAACAAGAATTTTACAAATCCATTTAAATCAAATTCAAAAAAGAGCCAAACTAAAACATGGTTTTTTAGGGATACAGGCAAATGATGTATATAGAAAAGCAAGGAAGTTATCACTATAAAAATCAGAGTAGGGGCAAGAGATTTATTGAAAAGAAATCCATGGTGCTGGTTGGTCTGTTTCTTGATGGAAAGTGATATAATTAATATTTGTTTTATCTGTATTAATGTTTTATAGTCATCAGATTCCTTTTTTATATACTGTTTTCTTTCTAACTTTTAGAATTTTTCTCATTTTTAGAGATGGGTCTCTAACTTGTTGCTCAAGTTGGCCTTGAATTCCTGGGCTCCAGTGATCCTCCTCCCTCAGCCTCCTAAGTAGCTGGGACTATAGTACACACCACTGCATCTGGCTACTGTTTACTAATTATGTTGATCTGCTTTTATAAAACTGTGTTTATGTGGTGGTGAGATTATGGTTCACTGTTGCCTTCTTATTATATTCTTCTATTGTAAATAATCTTAAGGACATATATGATAAGTACACATATGAAAAAATAAAATGAATGTTCTCAAACTATAAGGCAAATAATCAGATGTTTCTGAGAAAAAAATGCAAAGGCTATCAAGCGGGTCTGTCTAAAGTAACATTGTCCTCTCTTTTCTTAAATTCATACAGGTTAACTTTGAGGAATTTAAGGAAGGTTTTGTGGCTGTGCTGTCATCCACTGTTGGTGTTGGCCCCTTAGATGAAGAGAGTAGTTCTTTGGAATCAGGTAAGAGGGTTTCCTCCTGTCAGCTTGAGTTTCTTTTCATTACTTGTGGCCTGAGTATAACCAAGCAGTTCTGTAAACTAAATTCTAATCCCACTTTCTGTCACTACCAAACTATGTAGACTTGGGCAAAACATTTGGACCTTTTCTCCTTTCATTTCCTCATCTGTAAAGTAGTGGCATTTAATGACACATGCTGTGCCTGCAGCGGATGGCTTCACCAGATCCAGTGTGTAATGGGTGTGGAGGAGGGAGCAGTGCAGTGCTGATGGCAGTGTGGCTTTCCAGGGCTCTCAGGCTGTCTACCTGCACAGGACACTCTGGCATCTACTGTGTCACAGATTCTTTGCTTTCCATCATGGTGATCAAAATACCTGACAAGAACAACTTAGAAAATGAAAGACTTATTTTGACTCATTGGTTTCATTCCATGGTCAGCTGGCTCCATTGCTTTGGGCCTTAGATGAGGCAGAATATTAAGATCCTGGGGGTTTGTGGCAAAGGAGAACTGCTCAGCTCATGGAAACCAAGAAGCAGAGAGAAGGAGAGAGAGCAAGGGTCAGCGGTCACCAAAGGTCACTACCTGCCTGTAGTTTTCTCCTCCTTCCAGGAGTCCATTGAGATCATAAATCCATCAAATGCTCAGAGACATGTGCTCTGCGAGGTGAAAGGTAATGCCCAGTACTCATTTGTTACCACTGCCCCACTGGATGTGCTGTGGGACCTGTTTAGAGAGTATGAAATGGTGGCCGGCAGTTCCTCTGTGCCCCACGGCATACTGGTCAGACAGGTGCATGGCTATGGAATTACAGTATTGGGCAGAAAAGAAACTGGCAGGGGACAAAGAGCTTGTGCCATGTGTATTCTGAGCTTTATGTATATTATTTAGATTCTGTTTCATCCTCATAGAAATCCTGTGGTGGTGTTATACCCACTATGCAGGTGAGAAAACCGAGACCTGAGGTGGAAAGGAATTTGTCCATGATCTCACAGTTAATAGTGCTGAGGAGCCCCAATTTTCCAGCTTTAAACCCTTGCGCATGGAACCCTGATTATTCCATTAGGTGCTATTTGGTCAGGCTCCCTTCTTACTCCTTGCTGGGTGTAGAGACCTTGGGCACAGTGCCCAGAGCTCTAAGGTTACAGGGAAACCTTCTGTCAAACCAGCTCCACTCAGACCATTTGCATGATCCTGTCAATGCCTTATCTCACACCTTTCTCTCTCAGATGAGAAGAGGGCCACATGCCTTTCCTGACTCACAGGAGTTTGTAACACAATCAGAAAGAAATATCAAAGTGTCTTCAGAAAAGTGAGGTCCAGGGCTGGGGTTGTGGCTCAGTGGTAGAGCGCTTGCCCAGCCTGTGTGAGGCACTGGGTTTGATTCTCAGCGCTGCATATAAATAAGTAAAATAAAGATCCATTGACAACTAAAAAATATTTAAGAAAAGACAAGACAGACCCAGCCCTACTGCTGTGTACTCCCTTGTCTATACCAAACAACTCAGGAAGTCCTCCCTGCCATGGGGTGCTCGTAAGCTTAAAACTCTCCTTCTATGCCACGTGTTCTTAGTTCTTACAAAGAAACAAACTCATTGAGGACCTGTGCTTTTTCTCATCGAGTCCAGTTTTCTTTTGGATTAGAATTTCAAAGCTTTCTTTAACAGAATGGTCCTATGCCCCACCTGAGACACTGTTCCTCCTGCCAGTGGGTAGACTTCATCTCCTTGTCCTTCTCCATACACCCCTCTCTGCTAGCTAAAAGGCCGAACTGGTATATTTAGGCTGCACATTTTCTTTTTGTGCAAAAGATAGCCCTGAGAAAGACTCGAATCTCTGCTGACTCCTCTGCAAAGACTCTTGTCTTCCTCCCAGCACATGTTCCATCTACTTATTTTACCACCTGTATTCTGAAAGAAAAATTTCTAACTCCTAAACTCCCTTGATATTTGAGCTATCTTTTAATTTTTAAGCTTATATCATTTTTATAATGAATACAGTGCTTTCAATAAAGAATGACCATTATTATGTTTCTGACTCATTTACAGAATTTTTTTTATTAGTTACACATGACAGTACAATGATCTTGACATATCATATATTTGACTCAAATATATCAGGTGATATGCAAAAAAATCACAAAAATGTTTATTACAAAAAATCATATATATAGCAATGGTTCCAAAGAAGTAATTTTTTTTTTGTCAGGAATAAACATTTGGACAGGGATCAAAGTTTTGGTACTATTTTTATGTACTTTTACTCATAGTGAATAATCTTTACACCATTTCTTCATTTTACTTATTGGGATTAATCACAATTTATATATCTTCTAAAAGGGCACTGAAGGCAGAAAAACATTAATGGCTTATGTTTAAATTACCTACATTATTTGATCTTTCACTTTTTGAACAAAAAAAAAAATCTACATAAAACCATCTCAATAAATATCTGTATCTCTGGTTTAAAAAATAAAGGCTGAACTGGTGCTGTGCGCTTGTGGTATGGAGAGTCAAGGTGGGTCCTGCCTGTGCTCTCCAGGGTTGAGCCTGGTTCAGTATCCCCCCACCCAGCCCTTCTCATTGTGCTCACTGGCCTGCCCATCCCCCACGTGCATCCCATGTTCCCAGTGCATTCAATCCCCTTCTTGCCCCCTCTGTTTCCTGCTGCTGCAGGGCTCTGGTCTCAGGCCCTGCTTGCCTCCTCTGCTGTAGTCAAAATGTCATCCTTTTCCTGATTTTCAGTCTCTTAGCTGCTCCTTCTTGTCACCCTCACTGTGATCAGAAAAAAAGGTGCTTTGGATACTCCAGTGGTATCTAGAGTTTCACGAGGTGAGTATGTATCTTGCATTTTGAAGATCACCCCTGCTTCCCGGTCATCTTTCTCCTTTTATTAAAGAAAAGCCAATATTGAACATACAAATACGTGTGCTTTGCTTTTTTGGACTTTGTTACACTTTCTCCTGCTCTGTGTGCATTTCCTGCACATAGTGTGCAGGATTTGGGCGGAACGTGTGCTCTCCACTCTGGGCTGCTGCCGGGTGTGTTGGGTCATGTGCCTCAGGTGCCCTGAGGGTGGGACGACAGGAGACTGGCCCAGAGCACGCCGGAAAGATGCCAGTCCCAGGTGACTTATGGTGCTCCTCACCCCAGAGGGAGAGACCCTGTGATTCTGTGGGGACTAGAGAGCTGTTCCTGGCATTGTTGCCATGGCCCACTCCTCTGCCATTTTGTTTCTGTGCTGACAAACTTCGTGGACTGTCGTCTGTGATGGAGAACCTGATGGAGGGTGGTTTCTCGATGGGCTTCTCTGATGAGAACGTTGAGGAGGATTATGAAAGAGCATGGGTCATTCTGGGCAGCTTATGGCTCTAAGTAGCATGAGGGGAGGGTGGGCTGCACCATCCCCAGGTGTGCAGGTATGTAGTTGAGTCCCAGGACTGTGGTAGCCAGAGTCTTCTCTGTGGCCGGGGTGGTATTCCAGGAGGGTCATGAGCACCCCTGAGTTTCCCCACCTTGGATGTGCTAGGGATTTGCACTTTCAATACCACCTCAGGATGCCTCCTAAGCTGATAGGGAAGAAGAAGATCCCTGCCTCCCATCACCAGCTGCAGCTTGTGTGCAGCAGAGGCCAGAATCAAAAGCAAGAGCCTCATTCACCCTTTGGGCAGCTCTTTATCAAGAGCCGTTCTCCACAGTGGTATTCAACCTGTGAACTTTGGTGAATTTTCTCACACATTCTCATTTTCTCTCTACTGACTTGGAAGCTTTTTCTGATCTTTAACATGTCCTATGAGCTGTGTTCCCTCTGGGGAGTTTGCCAGGCCAGGCTTGTTGCTGCCTGTTGCTTCAAATTGTCATTAATCGTGCCTCTGATGACGTTTGAAGTGTCCCACTCGTCACCACAGGTGGTTCCAGCTGCTATCAGTTCAGCATGTCCTAAGTAGATCTCTGCATCTTCCTCACTAAACCTTGTCTGTGGTTCTCAGTTTCTGTCTCCGTCCCTGTTCCTCTGGTTGGCCCAAGACAGGTCTGCCATGAAGTGTTCCTCAGTTTTCTGGACAGGCCTTGCCTCATTGGACCCATTCTTTCTCTCCAGATATCCCCATTCTGGTTGTTTCTTCCCTCTGTACCCAGCCTTTACCTGCTGTCCTCCCAACTCTCTTTCCTGCCCCACCCACATACACTTTTTTTAGGATTGGACAGATGTATAGAACAGAGGTAGGAAGAAGGACAGGTAAGGTTTAGGGGATTCTCACAGATCCTGGAACCAAATTCATGGCTGCCTCTGCTCCAGACATTCAGACCTGCTGCAGGGTTGCAGAGAATCTCCTGGCTGTGTCTGGCCCACACCAACCCATGCCTTTCCAGCTCCATGGGGTGAATAGCTGAGAGAAGTAGTCATCATATCTCCAGAGCAGTGTGTTCTTGAGTGATTGGGAGGGGTTTTTTTCCCCCTTTGCATAAAAAAATAGATTTTGTACTTCTTTTTTATTCTATAAACAAAAGCAAAATATGCTTGAAAAAGATGTAAATAGTATATGGAATTTAGTGGAAAGTTCCCTCTCCCTGTTCTGGCTTTCTRAGTCTCCCACCCTCTGGTGTTATGAGAGCCACTGTTAACCATTCATGCATTTTTCCACATGTTTTCCTGTGTATAACGGCACATCTTGAGGCATACTCTTGTGTCAAATCTATAATTTTTGGAGGGTGTCCTGTCATATGAGCGGGCCCAGAACCCACTTCATAGGTCCATCCCTCATATCTCCCATTTTCTTTTCAGCTGCCTCTTGTGCTGTCCCACCAAAATATGTGAGTGGCTCCAAGTGGTATGGCCGTCGGAGCCGGCCTGAGCGGTGGGACTCTACCGCTGAAGCCAAATACGTACCAGAGCAGCAAGCCAAGGCCAGCCTGAAGAGCCAGCTCCGACGTTCTGCGTCTCTGGAAAGTGTGGAGGTGGGTCAGTCCTCCCTTCCCGCCCCAGGTTGCCCAGTGTTGGGAGACCAGTGTGTCACTTCATCAGTCTCCATATGATAACCAGAGGATTTGTGGAGGGCAGCCACGTTCCTGGGCATCTTAAGTTGCCTGAAGCTAAGGTTCACGTTGAGAATAACATTTCCTTCTAATTGTCTTGGGTCTGATTGTCTTTGGGGGGAATCCTGGCCACAGAGCACTCTTTTTCAGTTGATACTTTGTTCCCTCCCCTCCTTCCATCACCACCTTCCCTATCACTGCAAGAAGGTGATTTTTATGAAAATGTGCAGAGGGATAGAAATGGGAAAATGCCTTTGACGCAGCCTCAAAATTTGGAATGTGGGTGCACCAAAACAATGGTCTTACTTGCCTCAAACACTTAGAATATAACAAGATCCCTCTTGGGGTCTTGGGAGTTGATTCTTCCCTTCTACCTGCTCTGAGCCTTTTGACCCAAGTGTCTGGAATTGGTCAAGGAAATCAGCTCTCCCTGGAGGCAGGTCCACAGTTTTTGAGTTAATCATTGATTCATTAGACCCATATTTTAAGGATTCCAGAAAGTCCTAGCTCTGTGAACCAACTTCTGACAGATGGAGCCAGTGTTAACCATTCATGCATTTTTCCACATGTTTTCCTGTGTATAAGTTTGGGAACTTATCTTTAATAAGAGTTCTGGGGCCCAGACTGATTAGTTTATATTGTGAACATTTGTTGAGGCAAAGAAAAAAAAAAAACATACTTAAACGTTACAACTCTTCTTTCAGGGGCCTGCTATATCTGTGAAACACTAACAGATCCAGGACATTCCTTTTGTATTTATTTTGAAAAATTTGAGTCTCAGGCACAGAGGGTTGAGTTAATCTACTCCTGGGCTTAAAGTGCGTCATCTTTGTTGGTGCCGTTCTGCTTCTTAAGTCATCTTTGACCCCCAAAATGTGAATGCAGGGAAACCTGACTTTGAGATTGTTGGTTGAATTGAACTTGTTAGAAAAATGAGGCTCACTGTTTATCACCAATCGGATTCTGACCCTTGAGAGTTAATGACAGCTTTGAAGGTCATTCCAGGTGTTCATTTGGAATCTGTTAGGGGGCTGCGCAGTCCTTGTTTGAAGCAGACCCTGTGATCTGCTGACTTGGTCACTGAAACATGAGGTTTTTACTTATATCATGCACTTCTCAATGGCCCTGCCTGCTCTGCTGTCTTAGGTCCAAGCTTTTGCAGGTCACTGAAGTGTCAAGTGCTTGCTATGCATTGTGCTGTCCCCAGAGACCTTGGAGGGATGCAAGGTCTATTTGAGGAACGAATGTGGATGAAAAAGGACAGTGCAGAAGGTGATGATGTCACAAGCTCTTTTGGAGATTGTGTCTCATAACTGAAACATTGACTAGTTCCTGTCAAGTGCTGGTGTCTGAAGTCAACAGCATCACGTTGTACTGTTTTAGGGAGAGTATTTCTCTTCTGTTACAGTGTGAGGGCTTCAATTTGTTTTCAGTGTAACCTGCTGGTGATTGGTTGTGTTGAGGAGCCCTCAGTGTGCAGAATGAGGAAGGCAACCGTCTTCATGTCCAGGCCCCTCACGTCTGAGAGGGCATTGATCCAGAGGCATGGTGCATACTGCTCCATGGGGACCACACCCTGCAAATCCTCAGCCTAGGGGTGCTCGCTTGACATGCAGCCTCCATTGTCCTTCTCTCACCCAAAACATCTTGTTCTCTTTGTTCTGGTGCTCCACCCACTGTGTTATCCCCTGGAGGACTCACATCTTTCTCCTTACATTTTTCCAGAGTCTCAAGTCAGATGAAGAAGCCGAGAGTGCTAAAGAGACTCAAAATGAATTATTTGAAGCACAAGGTAATGTCATAGCATCCTATTTGGTGTTCTCTGCCTTTGACCAGGGCTTTGAAAACTCAAAGAGCTGGATCCATGGACAGGGCACAGCCACAAGAAGAACTTCTTGGGAAATGCATGCTCTGGGTGGTGTTCCTGGTAGACCCCTTCTCTAAGAGCTTTCAGAATGTTGGTATCAAAGCCATGAGGTGGTCACTTGGTCCTCAGCTTTCCCTGATGTCAGATCTTGAGGCAGAAGCCACTGACCAAGGGAGCAATGTGATTCTACCATGCTTCATGGTCTGTGAGTACTGGTATGATCTCAACTGGCAGGTTTGGGTCATGCCCAGGACTGGCCCTGCTCATCTTTCCTAGCATGCTAAGCCTGGACAAAGCTGCTCTTTGATGTGAAGGAGCTGTCTTAGCACCGGCCAAATTCCTATCCTTTCCCTAGATACAGTGTAAGACATGGTCCTGTTCCTTAAGAGCCTTATGTAGCAACAGAGGCCAACAGTTGGAGTACATGAGCAAATCATAGTCTATTAGCACAACACTGCAGAGCTGGAAAATGGAAGGCTCTGCTGTTTGTGTTGCTGTGGCACTGTCTGTGAGACCCAGAGCTGGGAAAGGAAGCTGGGTGCTAGGAGTGAGTGGGACATGAAATCTAGCCTCACCTTTCTAGAGTGGCACATGTGTTACATGCTCCTGTGGATACAGAAGCATTTTGGAAGTTCATGCAAAAAACTCTTTATAGTTATCTTTGAGGAGAGAAATGGAAGCTCTTGGGACAGGGACTTCTTTTTTATTTTATCTTGTAATGATATAAGAATATCATTCTTTTTTTTAAGAGAGAGAAATTTTTAATATTTATTTTTTAGTTTTCGGTGGACACAACATCCTTATTTTATTTTTATGTGGTGCTGAGGATAGAACCCAGCGCCCTGCGCATGCCAGGCGAGCGCATTACCGCTCGAGCAACATCCCCAGCCCATAAGAATATCATTCTAATGATATAAGAATTCTAGAGTGTTAACTGGGGAGTCAAGAACAATGACCATGGCAAACATTGTAAAACATAGATAACAGTAGAGTATGTGATGCTGCAGAAGTGAAAAAATGATGATGTAGGTGTGGGAGGAGCATGCACCCATGTCAAACCTGAGGAACTGCCCCAGGAGGGCAAATCTCTAGGCACCTCTTCTCTAGCACAGCCCAAGCAAGGCCCAAAGGTGAGAGACTGAGTGAGCTTGAGAACAAAAGTAAGGTTTATGCCAGGCCTTCAGGTTGTAGAGCTCAAACTTCTTGTGACACTGTTGTAGAGCTTTTCCGAGAAATAAACTGACTAGASTACCCAGGAAAGGTTTGGAGAAGGTGAAAAGGTAGAACAGGCTCCATAATATGTCCAGGGCCTCTCCTGAGACATGCAAAAGCTGAATCTGAAATTGTGTGAAGGATCACTCACATGTCTGGGTTTGGGGCCTTGGGTGAAAATTGCCTCAGAGTGTCTGGGTTTCATCATAGCATATGTCTCAGGGCCTCCAGTGCACATGATCCCACAAGGAAGGCTGGGGTTGCCTCATAGCACATGGGCCAAAAGTCATGTAAGCATCCCTTCTGCCATCTGGGTTGGAACTGTCACAAGACTYCCTAGATTGGAGGAGAGGGGCCACATATTCCATGTTCTAATGGCAGGAGTGTCAAAAGAATTCTGAAGCCATGCTTTTAAACTGCTCTTGGGGAAATTTGAAAGGAAGAAGACAGGTGTTTCAGAAGAGAGAAGGAGTTAAGAATGGGAGGATGTTATGTGCATCAATAAACAGGAAAACTGGACGTTTCGAGAGACATGTAGGGAACAAACTGAGGTCCTTAAACTCAGACACCTGTGCAGCATGAGGGAAAGCAGGAAACTCTCGATGTCTTTGAAGAGGACAGTGGTGGGGGGAACTACTGCTTTGGGGTACAGGGCCACAATGATAGGAAGAGTCTGGAGCTGGCTGACCATAAATGGAGCTGTCTTCAGACTGTGGGAGGTCTCTCGCTCCCCCARTTGATTAAGGAACTGAGAGGTGCCTTTGGGCAAGTGGATGGGGCTGGCAGAGGTGCAAGACCATCCCAGGAAGCTATTGGGCCACTGGCTGTGCTTTAACCCATCTGTGGGTTCTGGGCAGAATCTATGGCTGTCAGTGTCCTGCCCCCCCAAAAACCCTCACCCTTGGGCAGGGTACCCTGTGGTTTCCGTCACACTGGGCTGCAGGTCCTTTCCCGTGTTTTCCTCAACAGCATCATTTCCCCACATCATTCACAAGCATGTAGGCCTCCTATTTCTTGGGGGGACAATGGCTTTTTTATTACGAGTTGCATTAGGAAAGTAATTAATGTCAAAATGGCTCATCTGCCTGACAGATCCAGACCACTGAAACAGAACTTGCATTGCTTCAAGTCTGCTTTCAATGGAAGTGACCCTTCCTCCTGCAGTGGGCTGGGCWATGTGGATGGGCTTGTAAAGGGGCATATCTGTCTCAGGATAGCTCACCATAGATACATCCTCAAGGATGCCCCAGTGTCTGTCCTCCTGCACAAGTTTTAAACACATCAGGAAGCCAATCAGCTGAAGAGGAAAGGTTACACATGGCAGAGTCTTCTCATTGCTGAGCCTGAGGAGCAAGTATGTTGGGCTTCACTATACTCTTCTTTTTGGGTGGGTTTGAGGAGTTTCAAAAATTAAATTGTTAAAAAGCTGGTCTTGGGCTGAGGGCATAGCTCAGTGGTATAGTGCTTGCCTAGCATGTGTGAATCCTTGGGTTCAATCCCCAGCACTTCAAAAAGAGAAAGAAATATTGATTTATGGAAGTGAAAAAAAAAACTTAGAAAAAGCTGACCTTCTGTTATAAATAGAGCCATCTTTTAAGTACTTGAAGTGGTCAGACTTTAGTAAGTTACCTTCTGAAAAGCTTTCCCCAGGTGGAGCAGACTTTTCCCTCAACATTCTGTTAGGAAATTCTTAAACACATAATGGAAAGAACGGGTACTATGAACCCATGATGTACCTACCACCTAGTTCTACCTGGAAACATCTGTTTTTCAACTCCTGTGTGTGCACCTGTCCTTCCACTGGTCCATCTGATTTCTGAATAAATTGCCAGCATTGATGTGCTTTCCCTAGATGCTTCAACTTGGAACACAGGGTTTAATTATTGTTGGCATTTTTCCTACAGCTTTACTTGATTGACAGATAAAAATATATTTAAACTGCATATATTTAAACTATACAACATGATGATTTGACATATGTAATATACTATGAAATGATTATGTAGCAAACCCTTGCCTCACATAGTTACTTTTGCATGTATTTCCTGAGAGCACTTCAGATCTCTCTTCACATATTTTGGTAGTCAATACGTTGTATTATTAACTGTGGTTACTAGATTGTACATTAGGTTTCCAGTACTTAATCATCTTATAACTGAAGCTTTGTATTCTTTAGCCAACATCTTTTTTTCCCCCAGACAGCCCAGCCCAGCCCCCRGTAACCTCCATTACTCTCTATTACCAAGAGTTCCATGTATTCACTTATATGTGGAACCATGCAGTTTTTGTCCTTCTGTGCCTGGCTTATTTCACTTAGCATAATGTTCTCCAGATCTATCCATGATGTCACAAATGGTAGGATTTCCTTTTCCTCTTCCTTCCTGTCCCTACTTTCTCTCTCTCTCTCTCTCTCTCTCTCTCTCTCTCTTTGGTACTGAGGATTGAACTCAGGGGCACTAACCACGTAGCCACATCCCCAGTATTTTATTGAGAGACAGGGTCTCACTGAGTTGTTTAGCACCTCACTGTTGCTGAGGCTGACTTTGAACTTGCGATCCTCCTGTCTCAGTCTCCCGATCTGCTGGGATTACAGGTGTGCGCCACTGCACCCAGCTCCCACCTTCTTTTTAAGGCTGAATATTTTATTGTGTATTTATCAGGTATCAGGGTTTAACTGTGAATCTCCTTTGCTTCAGGCCAGCTGCAAACCTGGAGTTCTGAGGTCTTTGGGAGCTCCCAAAAGCCCTGCAGTCCCTCCTTGGACTCACCCGAGAGGCAGGTACGGGGCATCTGGGAAGAGTTGGGGGTTGGCAGCAGTGGCCACCTGAATGAGCAGGAATTGGCTGTGGTCTGCCAGAGCATCGGACTCCATGGACTTGAGAAAGAGGTGAGACCCTAGCAACTTTGTTGTGGCCATAGTTTAATGTTGGGTCTGGAAAATCCCTTCACCCTTCAGACACTGGGACAGTTCTAACAATTTCTGATCTAAAGTCATTTGGTGGCTCCCAATGCTTCTGCCCAAAGCTAAACCCCCAGATACCTTTAAGAGCCTGCCTCCCAAATTTATTATGCTGTCAAACATGCTGGGGACTTCTAATGCCTTCACTCAAAATCCTCCTCTGTCTGGAATGAACACCCTTTCCCTTCTCAGCATGACCCCTTCTACTTCTCAACCCAGTACAGTATCTCTGAGCCTGCCTGTCTTCACAGCAGCTGGTGGCTCTCAACCTGAGTAGGTGCTGGATGGAAGGCAGTCATGGTGCTGGGCATGATAAGGGTTGTTTGTAGCCTTGTGCCCTTGTTGGTCTATGAACCTTGGGACCAGGCCATGCTTCCTGTGTACATCTCCTCAGGGTCCAGCAAGTTTCTGTCCCCAGTAGACACTGAGTATTTGAGGAATTAGAAAGTTTAGATGCTGTTGTCTCACAATGGGCCTGAACCCAGTGAGGCTATGTAGGTTTCACAAGACAGAGTCAGGAGGCCTTAGGAAAGTGGCCTGGACACCTTTGAGTTTGGAAAAGGACAAGCAGACTGCCTTTGCTGGGTGCTTGGAGCCAGAAGGAGGGAGGGAGGTAACCTGAAGGTGGTGGTCTTTGTCTAGGAACTTGAAGACCTGTTTAACAAACTGGATCAGGATGGAGATGGCAGAGTGAGTCTTGCGGAATTCCAAGTTGGCCTGTTCAGTCATGAGCCTGCTTCACTTCTGGAATCTTCTACCCTGCTCAAATCAAGCAAGCCCTGGTCTCATTGTCAGGTAAAATGTAGCAATTAAATCTCAAAATCTGGCAGTAACTGTTGTCATTCCCTGATGACTGAGGATGCTGGCCTCTCTGCTGCTGTCACCACTTGAGCTGCTCAGGAGCTGGCTCAGTGTGTGCACACGTGAAGCTATGTGGCTTAGATTTTGGAACCACACAGACCTGGGGGTGAGTCAGTGTTGCTTTTTCCAGCTGTGCATCACAGGATGAGTTACTTATTTTCTCTAAGCTTTAGTCCCATCTATAAGATGGARACAGTCAAGTCAACTATTTTAGGAGTTCTGGAGGATAATGAACAATGCACGGTACACAGCATTTCCTCAGTGAGTCTTCTCAATTGTAGGTGTGGTAATATGTTCCAAAAGAGAACTCCCTCCTTTTGCTTCCCTTCYCCATTGGGTATTGAGAGTTGGCTCCTGAAGGCTTCTGCTGTACCTTATCTAGAATTGGTCCTCAGTGTTCCTTAGCTGAGTTCTCCCCATTCTGTAGTCCTGCATTTTATCTTTTTCACAGATCCCRTCTCCAGGGGCTGGGGAGAGTGAATTTCAGGCAGCTATTTAAATTAGGACTTTTTTCAGTGAACACTAGCCTMGCACTGTTTCTCTCAGCACTGGGACAGGATGGCACAGTTGCTCTGGAGATGTAGTGTGGATGCTTCTTTGCTGGTGGGCATCATGTAGCCAGTAGTGCTGTCTTTTACYAGGGGTGGGTACATCTGACTAGAGTTAATGAGAACAGGTGAAGAAGAAACTCAGCAGCCAGTGTTGCAGAGAGGTGTTAGCCYTACAGGTGAGAAAGACTGGAGTCCCAGTGAGTCATGTTCCATGCTGGTCAAGTTAGACACCTCCTCTGAATAAAGCTGTCCCTGTTTGCCACTGTTGTCCTCTGGAGCAGGGTCTTAGAGTAGCTGTGGCTCTTTCCAAAGGGGTCATCATTCACCCTTAGGCCCCAGGCTGACAGCTAAAGAGAACTGAGGGTCCCACGTTTCCCATCAGTGGACTTCTTACCCAGCAGCCTAACCTGCTGAGGTCCTGCAGTTACAAATGTGCTAGAGGCTACAGCCCCTCCCAGTGCAGCATGGCCCTCTCACTTCCTGTTCTTGGTAAGCTGCTCCTKTTCTCCTGGGCATTGCAGACACTGAGTCATCTTCCCTCATCATCCCATACTCTGCATACATAAGACCCATGCACAGCTACATACACATCTATCTACTGTGTACATGCACACTACACACACACACACACACACACACACACACACACAGCAAACCCACATTGTTCACTGTTCATGTGCACTCACTGTTTATACATCCACATCCATTGTATTTGTGCGCCCCATGTATACAGACTGCATACACACATCCACTGTATACAGACATCCACCAAGGCTGCCACAGATACCATGCAGGGCAGGGAGAAGATATTCCTGTGTGTGGAGGGAGGCTGTGAGCAGAGGTCTCTGATATTCAGGAAGTGCTTCCATCCCTAGTCCTGTRGTCCCAGACAACAGAGGCTTATTGGGAAGGACCCTACCTGGGGCAGAAAACAGCATGGAAATCATTCTTGCCCTTTGGATTCTTATACTACTGAAGTCTTAGAGGCAGCTTTCTGGTTGAGAGATTATGCCTTCTTTATAAAACTCACTAAYACTCCTCAACTGTGAACTGTGGGCCTCTGAGTTGTAAGGAAATATTATTCTTCTTGGGCCATTTCTTTTCTTCTTTTGGGGCCTCTTATTTCTTTTCTCGAAGTTAATTTACCTGGCATGGCATATACCTTCCCAGGCTCTTCCTTTGTAAGGCCAGGTGCACACTGTCACCACCTGAGATGTCAAAACCCCTTTATGGTCTCTCTGTTAAGTGATGTGCTTGCTGGCCAGGACTGATGGTAGGCCACCCAGGTATAAGGCCTCAAATGGACAGTACTAGAGCAGATGCCTGAGGGTCATTGAGAGAGCACCCAGTCAGGGTCCCTAGGTGAAGATCCCTGGTCTGTTCCCTGCAGATCCATGTGATTTTAGACAAATCCTATGATGGTACCCTGCCTCTTTTGTCTAGGAAAAGGAGCTAATGATAACCTGAGTTCTTCTTGTTTTATACCTCAAAGAGAAGGCAATGTGCTGAGCACAGGCTGGTGAGGGTGGAAAGCYGTTAAAACATGCAGACGCTCTGGCTTCCCGTCACCCATGTGCTCAGGGTATCTTCTTTTTCCATTGTGCAGGTCCCAACAGAGAAYGGCTGCCACACTACCCCTACCACCTCGTCCCTTGTGTCTGTGTGCTCAGGCCTGCGCTTCTTCTCCAACGTTGATGATGGTAGTGGCTTTGCCTTTCCTGAGCAGATCATCACCACCTGGGCACAGGAAGGGATTCAGAATGGCAGGGAAATCTTGCAGGTTTGAAACTGGCCATTCACAGCTGCCCTGGTGGGTGGCATCCAGGGGCAGTTGGGCTGGGTGGGGGTCATGTTTCYACAGAGAAAGATAGAAAAAGCACCCCATGCAGGGACAGGGAAGGACATGTTCTCTGTGCAGAAAATCCCTTATAGGCAAGTCTGGGAGGAAACATCTTTTCCTTCAATTTCTGCTAGTATTATATAGGGAATTTAAATCTTAAAAGATAATATATAAAATACAAAGAAAATAAGAGTCTCAAAAAGTGCATTTGAAGGTAAATTCCATTGTCTACATACATTACCCCATTGCTACACAAAGGAGGCAAGTGCCACAAATTTGTGAAGMGGTCTAATGGGTGTCACTGTCACCAGTGTTCCTAAAGAGTCCATGGTGAGCTCACAAAGCCCCCTGCCARCTTGAGCTCTCCTCTGCCACAGTTTCCACTTCCCACAGACCCTTCCCTGCCAGGGGTTGAAAGTCAGAGGCTTCTTGTACTTTACCACCCTCCTCCTGTTTTTTTGGGCCACCCAGGAAGCTTCCTTCCGGGGCCACAGGGCCAGCCGTCAGGATTTGGAAAGAGCTCTGCCCTGGAGTGGCAGAGTCAGAGGTTCACAGGGAACAGATGCCTAAGGGGAAGATTGCCTTGGGGACGTGCCRTGATTAGATTTATTATTTTCTTTTTTACAATACCTTTATTTTATTTATTTATTTTTATGTGGTGCTAAGGATAGAACCCAGTGCCTCCCACATGCCAGGCAAGTACTCTACCACTGAGCTACAGCCCCAGCCCTAGATTTATTATTTTCATTTCCAAATTTCACTTTCCATTATTTAAAAAAAAAAATTGTCTACTAGCTGGGGCTCTGTGAGCATAACTGTAATCCCAGCTACTCAGGAGGCTGAAGTAAGCAAATTGCAGTTTTGAGGCCAATCTCAGCAAAATAGCAAGACCCTATATCAAAATAAAACTTTAAAAAAAGAACTGGGGATATAGCTCAGTGGCAGAGGGACCCTGAGCYCAATCCTCAATACTATTTAAAAAAATTCTTAGTACAGAAATCTATAAAATAAGAAAGTGAGTCTGTCCCTGTTTTGTTTCCATTCCTGGAGGTCCAAGGAAGGTGCAAGAACTGACAGTTTGGTAGGTATTCTGTAGTTTTKTTTTTTTTTYYCCCCTGGCACACAAAAAATAGATGTATTTATACATTCTACTTAAAACTTTTTTCAAAATTGATATCATACTATGTATCTTGCTAATTTGTGTGACCTTTCCCCACTCTCAGGCAGTGTAGGTTGTTTCCAAAGTTTTTCTTATTAGAAATATCAGCATTTATTTATARAAATATTCTCATGCTTCTGTGCTGGAAATTTTTTTGTGTGGTATTCCTGAAATTACACATTTTAACCCTTCCTAGGCTCTGTCTTGTTGCTTCCAAAAACATCCCTGTTAGCATAAACCAATAGAGCATGAAAGAGTCCAAAAACAGCCTTTCAGTCTGCCTGCCTGTGTGGGTGGAGACCCTCTGGAGGCTCAACCTAGCTTGCCATCCCTTTATCATCCTTGCCAAAATGGTAGGTCCTACCTGGACAGCTGCCCTCATGATTGTTCTGAAAATCAGAGGCTGTTGGGATCACCAAAAATTTTATTCAGGAACTGGGGTTGTGGCTTAGTGGTAGAGTGCTTGCCTCACATGCGTGAGGCCCTGGGTTCAATCCTCAGCACCACATAAAAATAAATAAACAAAACAAAGATATTGTATCCATCTACAACTTAAAAAAAATTAAGACATTTTATTCAGAGAGGGCAAAGAGCAGAGGTGCTCTTCTGATATTTCCTTGGTGCAGGGGTGAGCATCTTGGCTGCCATCCTGGTCTGGTCAATGATGAGGCTTTGTCTTGCCTTTTCCATTATTTCAGAACTTACTCCTTTTATTGTCTTTTGTTTGCTTATTTATTTTGGTACCAGGGATTGAATCCAGGGGTGCTTAACCATTAGACCACTTTACCAGCATTCCTCCCACTTTTTGTTAATGTTAAAATTTTTTCATTTTGAGACAAGTTCTCACTAAGTGGCTAGGGCCTCGGTAAATTGCTGAGGCTGGCTTTGAACTTGCAATCCTTCTGCCTCAGCCTCCCAAGCCAGWMGGATTATAGGTGTGCATCACTGCACCTGGCTATTGCCTTTTTTTTTWAATCAGATGATGTTCTCATTTCTTTTGTAATTTGCCAGTTGCCTTCAGGTTTTKGTTTTATTTTATTGAGATAGCAACRATGTTGATTGAATATCTATCTCTCAGCACTTAGATACCAAGCAAGTATCTGTCAAGTGTGTGACCTTATTGAATCCTCACATCAGTCCTGAAGATGCTTCTATGTGTACTTGACAGGGGGGTGACAGAGTCAATAGCTTGCCTGGGCCTCAGGATGGGTGGAATGTCATTCAGACATCTGTCACTCCACATCTGGGCCCTTTGTACTATATGAGGTTGCTAGTAACTGCTTATTGGTGGAGCTGCCAGYAGCAGCACAGGTCTCTAACCCTATAAAGAGCAGTGAGCACCTGAGAGAACTTTCCCCTGGGAGGGAAGTACTGGCAGGGAGAGCCCTTGGCTTACACATGTCCAGGCATTGCACACCTGGTTTCTCTAGGTCTCCAGCCAATGCCATTGCACTTTTTACCTGAGCCTGCAATAGGGTCTGTTATGAGGGTGTTCCTCTTGATGCTGCTCTGAGAGAAGACCCCTTAGCAGATTATCACTAAATCATACCGCCTACAACATATGCACCATTTCTTACCTCAAACAGTTTCTGTGGATGAAAAATTGCGGGTCAGCTGAGCAGGATGGTCCCAGTTCATATTGCCTTGTGAGGTTGTAGGCAGATGTCAGCTAGTGCCACAGTCCTCCACAGGCCCGCCTGGGACTGGAGATCACTTCTAGGATGGTACATTCACAAAAATGACAGGCTGATGCTCACACCTTAGGCAGGAGGCCTTTGTCCCTTGCCATGTAGACCTTTCCCTAGGGCTGCTTGAGTATCCCTCCAACATGGCAGCTGGCTGCTCCAGAGTGAGTGGTCAGAGCAAGGAAGCAGCCACGTGTCTGGTGACTTCGGCCTTCATAATACATGCTGTTGCTTAGTATTCTGTTGGTTACACTGCTCAATTCTGTTTCGAATGGGAGGGGAGCACTCAGAAGGCCAGGAGCCATGGGCTCTCAGGAAGGCTGGCTCCCACACAAGCCACTATGGTTTCTGATGACTTCTACTCCTGGCAGCTGTGACTATAGCAGGTTTCTGTCACTTCCCCACACCCTATCTGGTGATACTGTTGCAGAGAAGAGTGTACTGTGTCATAGCAGCCTTAGTGTCCTGCTGCTCTATATGGTCCACCTTTCTTATTAGGAGATGCTAGAAAGTGGGTGGCTGTGAAATTCAACTCTTCATTTCTCAGGAGCAACCCCGATCCCCCAGGGGAACTGGGCATGTCACGGCATCTTCTCCCATAGACTGATGTGGTGCCTGCCTCTGGACTCGTGTGTAACTTCATAATTTTTTTAGAAGTCATAGCAGGAAGTAGGAGTCAGGAGTACTTGATGCTGACAAAAACAAGTGTGGTAAAACATTAGTTACTGGCCAAATGAACTGAGAGTGTGTGGGTATTCACTCTTCTGTTCTTTTTGTATTATTGTAAGACACACATGACGTAAATTATTATATTCTCTTAACTGTATTTTTCCAAATTCTGATGGGAAACAGAATCTCTCTGGGATACACACAGCCGTGGCTCCTCCTTTTGATAGATCATTTTACTGACAGAATCATCCATCCATATATGTGTTTCATAGACATAGATGAATCAGGATTCACTTAGTTTGATATGGCAAAACCCCAACACAAATGGCTTACTCAGAAGGAGAACCTTAGGGGCCTGAGTGGGCACCTGGGAGGTGGACTTCAGGTGTGACAGGATCTGAGTCAAGTGGTGGTATTGGGTCTCCCCTGTCTTGCTTTGTTGGCTGCTGGGCAGGCCTCCTCAAGTGGGCTTCCTAAGGCTTATCCAGGACTTACAACAGTTGGTTTCAGAGGGATAAAGGGCCCTGCCCCCTGGTCTCCACTTAAGTCCCCATGAGGTGCTTGTTGGCTTATGTCCTTCCTACACCTCAAGCTTTCTCCAGACAGTGGGGCTCTGTCCAGCCTGGGTAGCATCCACCCCTGAGGCAGAGACAGGGTATGACAGGGATGACTGAGAACAGTGCTGAAAGGGACAGGTAGCCTCATGACTAGAGGAATGTGGTGGGGGGCACCTCATGACAAGGATGGGGGGGTAGCCTGTAGAGTTACTTGGGACTGAATGGGGTACCCCCCACCAAGAGACTTTTGCAGTCAGAAAAGAGATAGGTACTGGCTACAATAGCCATTATAGGACTGTCCCTGGACTGTCCTTAGGAGAATTAGGAAGTATGTTTGGAGAAGTCCCTTATCCTCTTGTGCCCAATGGGGCTTACTACTTCCAGAGCCTGGACTTCAGCATGGATGAGAAGGTGAATCTTTTGGAGTTGACCTGGGCCCTCGACAATGAGCTCCTGACAGTTGATGGTGTTGTCCAGCAGGCAGCCCTGGCCTGCTACCGTCAGGAGCTGAGCTACCACCTGTAAGAGCCCACCAGGGACCAGGGATTGGGGTGAAACTGAAGTGACAGAGCCAAGATCACACACATAAGTCACCTTTCTCTTTGAGAGACCCACCTGTATTTGCTGAGATGTCAGGCAGCAGTGCAAAACTGTGGCCAGTGCAAAAATGGTGGCTAACATTTTCCTTCCCTTTATGCATTCATTGCAGATTAGGGGCCTGAGATCCAAGAGCTCTTGGCCTACTGGAGACAAAGTGCCTACAGATAAATCCTCTCGCATCCTGAGCTCATCTAGATATGTAGCACACAGTAGGAGCTCTAGGCACAAACTGCCTGGGTCAAAAACCTTCTAGAAATTTTACTTGCCAAACATTTGGGGTACTTCCCCAACCCCATTTATAAAATGGGTATAGCAGCTATAGAAAACACACTAGGAGGTGGTTGTGGGGGCAATGAGGTCAGCATGTGCTAGCCCATACATAGTTTCTGTAACTGTATCTGTTTTTATCATATACACAGACATGGGACTCATGGGGTCCAGAGTAGGCACAGGTGGGGCATGTCAGGTCTATGGTGGGGATCCCATCTAACCTGTCTCCTTCCTGTGGCAGAACACAAGTGGAGCAATTGGTGCAGGAGAGAGATAAGGCAAGACAGGACCTAGAGAGAGCCGAGAAGAGGAATCTGGAGTTTGTGAAAGAGATGGATGACTGCCACTCTGCCCTGGAGCAGCTGACAGAGAAGAAAATCAAGTAGGTTCTGGGCCCAGAGCAGTGGCTTCTGGGCAGACATGGGAGCAACTCTTCACCTGGGGCCTCTCCTGATGCATTGCTGAGAGCAGGGGTTGGCAGGGGGCTGCTGAGGCCACAGTTGTATGTGCTGCAGAGCTGAGGCCCTGAGTTTCACCTGAGCCAGAAGACAGCTTTGAGGATATCCTTTCTGAGAGGAGAAGGTACATCTAAAACGCAGTCCCAGTCTTTAAGATGTGGGTGCAAAGTGCCTGGTGTCAGCTGTGCATGCCCAAGGATGACAGGGAAAACCCCTGGCTCTGCCCTCACATACTTCAGGGTCTGCCTTATAAAAGCCAAGGAGGCTCATAACCTGTATATGTTCCTGTTTGACTGTGAGGTAGTGGAAGCTTTGAGAGGGGCTGGCAAATGGCCTCTCATTGGTTCGGCTGGTAGAGGGATCCCAGGGACCAAGGCCTGACTCACATGTCACAGTTCTAGTGTGCTGAGCCAAGCCCTGGTATAGTTTCAGTGTGTGGTGTTGGCAGATAGATAGGCCAGAGAAAAGGACACAAAGTCACATCTCTGGTTTATAAGCCAGAACATTTGAGGAAATATTGCCTGTGAGGACTTCCCAGACTTTGGCAGGGAAGTAACTTCCCTATACTTACTATGGGAGTCTTAGTAGGTGGTGAGTCTTAGTAGGCCAGTGCTTGCTGGCCTGTGGTCCCTCCAAGGGTTCAGCTGTGCACCTCCCCCACACATGAAGATAAAGGAGGAGGGAAAGAGAGATGGCATGGGTATCTTGATTACTCTGAAAAACCTCTCACCTTTGCCTCTCCTGTCATGTGTGTGTGGCATTGGAAAGTGACACTTTTTCACAGCAGTCCCCATACTATGTGTGTCATTCAAGATACACAGAAAGCCTCTGACGCAGACCTGATGGACAGTTAAAGGGATTTCATAGGAATTTTTACCCTCCCGCATTTGCCTCCCGTGCACCTTGGAGCATTCACCCAGCCAGCAAGGAGACTTTTAGCATTATTGTGGCTGGTAGGGAAGAGAGATGAGCAGGAAGTTGGTTGGGAGGAGCCAGAAAAGCTGTGGATAGCACGTTTCTTGGCTTGGTCAGCCAGCCCCAGCTGCCATAGAGGATGCAGACTGGTCCCAGTGAATGGGGAGCTCAGCAGTCAATACCTACCTCATGGCATTTTGTATTAGGCTAAACCTTGAATTTATACCAAAAGCCCATTCTTCCTTTGCCAAAGACCATAGAACCTTGGCTGTGTAGTCTAAGGCCCAGAGGTTGAGCAGACAACGTGGTCTCAGGCTCCCACGAAGACTTTTCTGGCCTATGAGGCTGCTGTGGTATGAGTGTTCTGTCTGTGCAGATGGTGCCTCACATAAGAGCCTCTGCCACCCAAAACAGACCATTTTAATTCCATTTTCAGCCAAAGAAACGGAGAATTGAAGCAGTTCAGTAGCTTGTCCACAATTTTGTGTGGATACGTGAAACTGAAATGTAGGTCTTCTCCTATTCTTACACTGGTTTTTGTTTTATTTTTGGTATTAGGGATTGAACCCAGGGGCACTTAATCATTGAGCCACCTCCCTAGATCTTTTTATTTTTTATTTTGAGACGGAAACTCATTAGGTTGCTTAGGTCCTTGCTAAGTTACTGAGGCTGGCTTTGAACCTATAATCCTCTTGCCTCAGCCTCCCAAGCTGCTGGGATTACAAGTGTGTTCCACTGTGCCAGGCTTGCACTATTTCTAAGACAACTTATTTAGTTTGAGAGTATAAGAAAATGGAACCTTAAGTGAAAAGAACACTAAGGGGTCAAGAGTTTGTTCACGTTGCCCTGGGTCAGCCATGGTCCTCAGTCAATTCTTCTCCACAATCTGTGCACTCAGGTCTCTGCAGATATGCCCTGGGTGGAAGCAGGTCTCCACTTCGCCTCCTGTAGCAGCCACCTTCCCTTCTATGACAGTTCACATGGGCAGACTCTGGGCAAGTCAGGACTTCCTACTGTGTCCACCTGTGCCTACTATGTCCACTTCCCCTCCATAGTGGCTGGGGAAGGCCAACACAGCAGGCTGAGGCTGACACATGCTTCTGCATGGTGTGGGGAGGAATGTGTTAAAAATAGAAGTGAAAAAGGGTTGAGGGTGTAACTCAAGTGTAGAGCACTTGCCTAGTGATGGCACTATGGGGACAGGGTGGGTGTGTAGTAACTGTGTAGATGTGTTTGTGAAAGAGCAAGTATGTGAGTACATGGGTGTGTGTGTGTGTGTGTGTGTGTGTGTGTGTGTGTGTGTGTGTGT